ATGGGCACCAGTGACCCACGCGACCCTGAAAAGGAAGAAGCGTGTACAGAAAATGGATGGATGGATGGATGGATATTACTAAAAATATCATCAATCATAATATTAAATAGCATAGGACTTATAATACTGCCTTGGGGAGTACCATTTTCTACTTGATATTTTGAACTTATTTCCCCACCTATCTTAACTTTAATGTTGCTTCCAGTTAAAAAAAATTTAATCCACCTATATATCTTACCCTTCAAACCTATTTGTTTTATTTTAATCAACACTCCTTTCCATAACATGTCATAAGCTTTCTCCACATCCAAGAAGACTCCTATTACACTCTCTTTATTAACCTGGGCCCTTCTAATTTCATGTTCCAGACATATTGCTAGATCTATTGTACTTCTACCTTTCCTGAATCCAAATTGATAAGACTTAATCTTCTCCTTAGACTCTAAAAAATAAATTAATCTATTATTTATCAATTTTTCCATAATTCTACCTAAACATGATGTTAAAGCTATTGGTCTATAACTTGCAGCTGAATTAGGATCTTTACCAGGTTTACAAATAGGAATAATAATGGCTTCTTTCCATTTATCAGGTAAAATCCCTTCCTCCCACACCTTATTATACAATTCTAATAATATTTCTTTACTCATATCACTAAAATTATTTAACATACTATAACTGATTTGATCATTTCCAGGAGTTGATTTACTCTCTGTGCAATGTATTTTTGCAAATGCTTTAGCTAACACCTCAGCTTTGTTTTTATTATCTACAATAATTTTCCCATTATCTTTTATAATTGGGAAAACATATTCTTTTGAATTTCCAGCCATTTTTTAATAGTATTCCAAACCCTGTTTAATGCAGTGTTTTTCCCCAAAGATTCACAATATTTCCTCCAATAGTCCCTTTTAGCATTTCTTATAGTTTTCCTGACTTCTGCCTGTTTCCTTTTATAGGTTATTACGTTTTGGAAGCAAATTATTTTCTCAAGAGTCTTAAAAGCCTTATTTCTCTGTTTAATTGCTATTGTACATTCTGGTGTCCACCAAGGAACTATCTTCTTCTTTTTTATACCCTTACTTATAGGAATGAATGTTTTGGCTGCATTAATAATACATTTGCTAATTTCTGAATTTACTTCATTTACTGGTTTACTTATATCTACATTTTCCATATTACTCTCACTCATCATTTTAAACTTTTCCCAATTTGCTTTCCCAAATTTCCATCTTCCCTCAATCTCTACCWGGCCTTCCTCTATATGTAAATCTATATTGACAAAAATTGGATAATGATCACTCCCCATTGTATTCTCTTTAAACACTCTCCAATTGCATTTATCAGCGATAGATTGAGAAACCAACGTCAGATCAATAGCAGATTCCTTACCCCTTGCGAAATCCATCCGAGTGCCTACTCCATTATTTAAAATGACCAGTTCTTTATCTTCAATCACCTCTTCCAAAATCCCTCCATCATAATCATCTTGATCTCCCCATAAAGTGCTATGTGCATTGAAGTCCCCACACCAAACAATTTTCCCTTTCCAGTGTCCTAGGATTTTTTCAAGTTTTAATTTCTCTAATTGTTTACAAGGATTGTAATAATTTATTATTTTAATATTCCCATGTTTTGTCCAAATTTCTACAGCAGTAAGCTCTAAATCAGATAATATTTGGATCTGTATAAATTTTGTAGCAATAACTTGGATTGGAATGTCAAATCCAAACTTTGTTTACCTCAAGACTTTGGCCTCTAAGCATTATTC